ATTTTTAAAAATTTATAAAATTTTATTAACTTTTATTTTAACAACAACAGCAACCAAACTCAAGACGGTTGAGAAACTTGACCAAGTTTGTCACAAACCAAGTTTGTGACCAAGGTCACAAAGCTGGTAAGAAACCTTGCAGGGATTTCACCACAGTCCTAGTCTGTCCATCATTTTTGTGAACTAAGGAAGCTCAGAAATGAGTAGCAAAGTCTTGCTGATGGCATGGAGACAGTGTGAAACATTTAGAGAACTTAAGGAAATATAGATTGGCAAACATGAAATACCATGCAGAGGTGGATGATATCCATGAAAGGGTACTGTGTCAAATTGATGCTGTGAGGAAGGATGGGCGAAGAAGGCATACTAGTTATTTTCGATATCACTTATAGTGTGAAACCAAGAGACAGTAGTCAAAATTACTTATAAGAAAGAGGGAGGAGCGCCTGGGTAGCTCTGTCAGTTGAATGTCTGACTTGGGCTTAGGTCATGATCTCATGGTTCCTGAGTTTGAACCCTGTAGTGGGTCTGCTGCTGTCTCGGAGCAGAGCCCACTTCAGATCCTCTGTCTCCCTCTCCCTCTGCCTCTTCCCCATGAATACTCTCTCTCTCTCAAAAATAAATTAAAAATTTTTTTAAAAAGAAGGAAAAGGGTATGATATGATAGTTTGAATATAAAGATAACCATTATAACAAAAGCACAGATCTTCCTAAATTCCAGAAGCACAGACATATACAAATATAAAGGAAAGATAAACCTTGAAATAGAATTATATTCTAGAAAGAGACAGGGATCAGGGTGGAGGGACTGGGGATAAAAGTTAGAATTCTTCGAATATACTTTGTTTTTGGAGAGATGATGTAGAACATTTAAAATTTAAAAGGAATTCTAAAAATTGAAAACAAAATAAATCGATCAAACATAGTTATGTATCAGGTTAGTGCATAATTGCACAATCATAAAGAAAAATGTATAGGACAATTAGAGAAATATGGATACTGACTGGATATCTGATGATATTAAGGGATTTTTGTTGGGAGAGAATAATGATGGCATTGTGGCTACAATGTAAGGGAATTCTCACCTTTTAGAGATACATATGGAAATGTTTATAAATAAAATTCGTGGATAATTTAGGGATTTGCTTCACAATAACCTGGAATTTGGTGGTGTAGGAAATGAATGGGGGATGAAGCAAGATTGGCCATAAATTGAAGCTAGGTTATGGGCACTCAGGTTAATTGCGTAATTTTCTTTACTTTTGTATAGGTTTGAAAAATGTCATTAAAGGGTTATACATTTCTTGATAACCAGAAGTGCCAGAGTTTAGATATCCAAGTGAGTGTTGATGTAAAATACTTTAAAGGTTATCAACTTAATCAAATAGTGTTATGTTGTGTCTATATATAATTGTATATGATAAAAATTATTATACTTAATGATCAGAACAAACAACTTTGCTTTTAAACAAAGTCCCTATCAATTGGCTTGATTTCCTATCTTAGTCACCAAACTTAGCCTACAGAGAGCTAAAAGAACCTTTGGCTCTCCTCAAAACCCACATCTATCCTCAGAGAATGAATACTTGCCTGTCAAAGAGGTGATGAAAAGAACTTGCCAAAGAGCTAGAATAGACTATATTCAACTAGTTTAAAAAGAAAGCATAAAGGAATAAAATTCACATTTTGATACTTTGAATATGGTTCTGAATTTCTCATTAGAGACAACACCTTATTCCATGGAAGACAAGAGAGTGTTAGCAATAATTAGTATCACATCAAAGGTTTTCACTGAGGGTATCCTTATCCTGAGCATTGAAAAAACAGATGGTGTAATTATCAGTGCGTTGTAAACTGTCGTGGATTTACAAATGGGTTATTGAAGAGATGAATAGAATGTTAGTCTTACACACAAACTTTTGAGAAAATGTGAACAATCTATAGTGCTTGGATGAGGTTTCAGTTTAAGAGTTAACATACACATAGTAATATCTGCCAGAAAAATGCAGTAGGGGCCTTGGATATGCTCTCATTTAATTCTTCAAATAATCCTGTGTCACAGAGAGGCTAAGGAGAGAAACGAGGGTTCAAATTTCCTGTGACTCCAGAGTCCCTCCTCTTTTCATTCTGCTGCTCTGCCTCCTGCCATGTTAGCTAGAATCAGACAACAAAGCTGACAGGCCTAATACTAACTATTGATAATTTATTATCTTTAAAAACACGAGTTTCAAACAATCACATTTCAGTTCCATCACGTTTAATTATAGAACACTGGAGGCATTCCCATTAAAGTCAGAAATAAGGCAAGGAAGGGTGCCTGATAAGAGCATGGTCATTGAATATGATTCAGAAAATGTGTACCAAGGCATTTAGACAAGAAAACGATGTGTGTATACGTGAGAAAGGAGAATGATCATTATTTACATCTGATATAAATGGCTCCATGAAAAATACAAAATAATGTTATAGTGCAATAAGGTGACCATTTATAAGATAAATTTACAAAAATATAGCTTTCTTTTTTAAATTTTTAAAAAAATGTTTATTTTTGAGAAAGACAGGGTGCGAGCAGGGAGGGGCAGAGTGAGAGAGGGAGATACAGAATCTGAACCAGGCTCCACGCTCTGAGCTGCCAGCACAGAGTCCGACACAGGGATAGAACTCGTGAACTGTGAGCTCATGACCTCAGCCAAAGTCTGGATGCTCAACCGATTAAGCACCCCCCCAAAATATAGCTTTCTTAATAAGTTTGAAAACTTATTGAAGAAACAATCTCATTTGTAATAGCAATGGGAAAGGTAAAAAAAAATCTGGAAATAATCGTTAGGAATGTGAAAATTTGTATATAGAAAACTACAGATACATAGGGAAATGTAAAAGTAGATTTGAACAAATGTCTGAGGATGACAAAAATTCTTTAAAATAGGCCATTTACCTCTATAATCAATAGAATTTCAGAACATAAAAGATGATTATAAAGTACAGTTGAAACAAATTTTATAAAAGGAAGACTGTTAAGTGTGAAATTTCCCTTTCAGATTTAAGATGTATTCTAAACCTATGAGATTTATTTTTTTAGTTTATTGTCAAGTTGGTTTCCATATTAATACCCAGTGCTCATCCCAACAAGTGCCCTCCTCCATGCCCATCACCCCCTTTCCCCTCTCCCCCACCCCATCAGCCCTCAGTTTTGTTCTCAAGTATTCAAGAGTCTCTCATGGTTTGCCTCCCTGCCTCTCCCCAGCTATTTTTTCCCCTTCCCCTCCCGCATGGTCCTCTGTTAAGTTTCTCCTCTTTCACTTATAAGTGAAAACATATGGTATGTGTCTTTCTCTGCCTGACTTATATCGCTCAGCATAACACCCTCGAGTTCCATCCACATTGCTACAAATGGCCAGATTTCATTCTTTCTCATTGCCAGGTAGTATTCCATTGTGTAGATAAACCACATCTTCTTGATCTGTTCATCAGTTGATGGACATTTAGGCTCCTTCTATGATTTGGCTCTTGTTGAAAGTGCTGTGTGAACATTGGGGTACATGTGCCCCTATGCATCAGCACTCCTGTATCCCTTGGGTAAATTCTTAGCAGTGCTATTGCTGGGTCACAGGGGAGTTCTATTGTTAGTTTTTTAGGAACCTCCACACTGTTTTCCAGAGGGGTTGCACCAGTTTACATTCCCACTAACAATGTAGGAGGGTGCCCGTTTCTCCACATCCTCGCCAGCATCTATAGTCTTCTGATATGTTCATTTTAGCCACTCTGACCTGCGTGGGGTGGTACCTCAGTTTGTTTTGATTTGCATTTCCCTGATGGTGAGTGATGCTGAGCATCGTTTCATGTGTCTGTTGGCCCTCTGGATGTCCTCTTTGTTGAAGTATCTGTTCATGTCTTTTGCCCATCTCTTCACTGGCTTGTTTGTTTTTCAGGTGTGGAGTTTGGTGAGTTCCTTATAGATTTTGGATACTAGTTGATATGTCATTTGCAACTATCTTTTTTCATTCCATCAGTTGCCTATTAGTTTTATTGATTGTTTCCTTTGCCATGCAGAAGCTTTTTATCTTGATAAGGTCCCAATAGTTCATTTTTGCTCTTGATTCCCTTGCCTTTGGGGACGTATCAAGTAAGGAATTGTTGCGGCTGATAAACTATGAGATTTAAATAGTAAATTGGGGCACAAGGTGTTTTAAAACAATAATTATTTTAAGAATTTATACTCTAAGCCAGACAACACAAACAAGCATACACAGACAAATGAGAAAAAATTATGGATACAGATTCGTATATGTTGAAGAAATTGTCTGAATCATTTTCATGCACAGCAAGGCATGTGAATGGCACATTTGGGAATTCCCAATTATTTTGAAAGATGTGAAGAAACCGTATTGCTTTCTAAAATCCCAGCATTATACTAGGAAAGTTTTAATATGGGTAAACTATATTTTGGTGGCATTATTATATAATCTAATGACAAATTAAGATTATTATACACATCAATCCAGAATTTGCTAGAATAGTTAGTCGGGAAATTGGAAGACCCAAGCAGCCTTGGTCAGGCTTGGACAGATCATTTAGCTTTTCCTAGACCTGTTCACTCATCTCTAAAATGAAGGCGTTGGTCTTCATAACATGAAACATCATTTCCTGAGGTTTATGGCACGGTGAAAAACTTGCAATTGCAGTTTAATGTTAAAGTTCCTTTAGTAAATTTACCAAACACTATTTGTTCTAAATATTTTATATCAATTGCTGGAATATATGTTTAGTATATGCACCTTCCCCCCGAGAGTGTTATTTTGCTATTTGCTGTAGTACTGGTGTTCCAAAATATGAAAAACTCAAGAAATCACAAGGAATTAAGTCTTTATGAAAGTGAACAATTCCACAACAAAACTCCTTTAAATATTTGGAAATTGGGTGTGCTGGCTAAATGCTCACACTGTTTGTCCTATTAAGCTGTTTAGAACTCATATGTCCTAAAAGTTTATTTTACTTTGCAGATGGACATCGTAATAATATAACCTGGAGCAACTACTGACACACCTGGCCACTGTCAGAGTGATGGAGGAGGCGTTCATCTTTGGTGCCCTAATGCTCTGAATCCAACCTTATCCTATATGTTCTCTCAGTAGCCATTCCAGAAAGGAAAATCCTATAAAATTTGCTTCACGTGTAGATTTACTGATCTTCATTAAACAAAAGATTGTGACACATTAAACGAAAGATCCCACCATGATGTAGTTTCTCTCTCTTTTATCCCCCCTCTGGTCTTTTTTCTTTGTTTCTTTGTCATCTTCATCCCACCACCTCCATCTCTCAGAGCTCCACTTCATTCCACGACACTATATTTCTGTCTTCTAAGTTTGGGTGGGAATGAGAGGGGAAAATTATAGAAGATGAACACATAATAAGCAGCAGATGTTAGCTATTTGTAGAGCAGGGAGGAAGAGCAACTTAAACTTGGCCGAGATTCTCCAAGTCAGGCCAGGCTCCTTTTCGGGTGCCTGTCTTAGAAAGGAGAAAAGTCAAATCCTCCAGTCCGTATCTCCCTTCTTACCCCCGCTGCTTCACACTACAGAAGCAAAGACATAAAAATGAGGAAAAAAACAGGAAAGGAGCAAATGGAAAAAGGAGAATGTTTTAATATACTTACCTCTTGTGCTTTTATATTTCAGTGCTAGTTACATTGATTCTGTGCATTCTGCAGAATTCATAATTTATTGAATTGATAAACCCTACACTCATTAAATAAGATTTACACCTAGAGAAGCTACATATGCCATTTGTATGGGATATGGTTTTCTTTTTAAAATCCCCTATGTTCTAAACACTTTTTCTGCTTGGGACACGGAAGATTTTGAAGCGGTGGTAGTTAGGGAGATTGGTTTAGAGGCAAAGAAATAAGCCTAATAAAATATACAAACAGGAAGCTCTTTTCTCTACCCAGGCAACATATATCCAAGGTAACAGTGTTTATTTACAGACACTACCACCTTTGTGGTCTAGTTTGGAAAAAACGACTTGAAAAATGGCCAACTCAGGAGTAGCAAAAGGTGAGGCCAATGCTATGGCATAGCGAGAGGCATTGGGGGTTCAGAAAAGGCAGTTATCCTCTAAGGCCAAACACATTGCCTCTGTCCAAGGCAGGCTCCGGCTTGGAACGCATTCTTCTTCAGCTTAAAAGTTCCACCAAGTGAGCGAAGTGTCTGTGTTTGCATCCTTGTTATCGCCAGAGCCAGTACCGAGCATGGTTCCATAAATGCAAAATAAGTATTCACTGACTGGATGAATAGCTAAAACGAAATAGATCTTCATAGTTTTCCATTGTAATTAATGATTTAATTAAAGGATACCCTGTACTTAGGTTTACATTTTGATGATTTGCTTTGCTATTATATGGCTTTTAATAAATAACATTTAGAATCATTACCGCTGAAAAGGGCCCTAGTGATCTCTAACTTGACTTTCTCATATTACAAACACGGAAATTAAAGCCTATTTAAGAGTCAAGAAAGCAGAAGTTTCCTCCCTAAGAACACGAATTCCATAGCTACCATCCTAAGGCTCTTGTCACTGTATCATGACTTGCCATTTTTGAGATGATCACAGTAATGAATGAAAATTTAGTTTAAATTTATATATGACTGACAATTTTTTGTGTCTGTTTTGTCATCTTATTGTGTATAAGCAATTGTTGCAGCTAAATTCTATGTCAGTTGTCAAAACACATGCCTATATTTTGTACATGCAAACATAATCAAAACAATTGTGTATTAAATACACAAGCAGAGGAAAGCTGTGATAAATAATAGTGGATGCTTAAAAATAAACAAAATAAAAGACAAGCAATTTTACATCTGTTGATAATAATCTAGAAGTAGTTTCTTCTACCCTGAAAGATTTTCACTGAAAAGAACAGGAAATGACTCAAATCACAGATATTATCAAACTAGAAGCAGAAAAAGAAATAAATAATGCTGTACCTCAGAATGCTATATTGTAAATGCTTAAAAAGATTTCTGAAGGACTTGGATGAGCTATCATTGTTTCAATATTAACTATTTACAACATTTAATCCATTTCATAAATTTTCTTTGCTTACCGGCACCGTGGAAGTCACCTTTAAGTTAATCTTTATTGAGAGAGTTCATGTGTTCTCATATATTTCATATGATAAAACTGAGTCTTTCAAAAATGAGCCTTAGAGTAAAGATAGGCATTTAAAAGACAGGTATTCAGGGGTGCCTAGGTGGCTCAGTCAGCTGAAAAACATGTATTCAGCATGAAATTATTCAATTAATGTGGAATTAGTTTAATATTTTCATTTTCCCATAATGATTTAATTATTTAAGATGCATACTATCATGATGAATGAACTAAAATATTAAAATAAATTCTTGGGATGCCTGGGTAGCTCACTCGGTTAAGCATCCGACTTCAGCTCAGGTCACAATCTCACAGCTCATGAGTTTGAGCCCCGCACTGGGCTCTGTGCTGACAGCCCAGAACCTGGAGCCTGCTTCAAATTCTGTGTCTCTGTCTCTCTCTGCCCCTCTCTCTCAAAAATAAAAACAGTAAAAAATAAATTAAATAAATCCTTAAACTAATTTTGTGATTCAACTTATATTTATATATATTATCTAATAGCATATATATAATGCAACATATACATGCGATGTATATGTTTATACATGTAATATGTTACATAAAATTTTATATATTATTTTAAAATGCCAAATAAAGACATTTTGTAAAGAAAAAAACAGTAGCCCAATGGAAGCAAGGTAATAACTGAAACAGGGAATACCAAATTAACCTTCTCAGCTTAGAACGAAAGTATAGACCAAGAATTTAAAGCTTTGAATTTTGTAGCAATATACCAGGCAGTCCTCATTATTCACAGATACTGTATTTGCAAATTCGCCTACTCAATAAAATTTGTAACCCCAAGATAATACATGTGGGTTTGGGGGATCATTTGCAGACATTCCTAGAATTGTGATGCTCAAAGAAGCCACCAACTCTGCTGTCTTGCTTCAGCTCTCATAGTGTAAACAGAATCCTTTCTGTGGTGTAAGTGTCACCTTTGTTTTGTTTTGTTTCTTGTTTTTGTTTTTTAATTTTTTCTAATTTTTTTTTTTTTGAGAGAGAGAATCCAAAGCAGGCTCCAGGCTCTGAGCTGTCAGCATAGAGCCTGACGTGGGGCTTGAACTCACAGATGGCAAGATCATGACCTGAGCTGAAGTCAGATGCTTAACTGACTGAGCCACGTGGGCACCCCAAGTGTCATGTTTTTTCACATCTTTGCCCTCCTCAGCTTAGTGCTGAAGTGCTGCCTAGTGTTCCTAAGTATAAGAAGGTTGTGATGTGTCTTATGGAGAAAATACATGTGTTAGATAAGACTCCTTCATGTGTGAATTATAGTTCTGTTGGTCACGAGTTCCATGTTAATGAATCAACAATATAAAATAAGATGTTTTTAAACAGAAATATGTTTAAAACAAGGTTACTTATTGATGAGTTGACAAAAATACTATGACCTGAGGTTCACAGAAACCTAACCTAGTATGTCCCCTGGGAGCAGTGACTTTGTAGGACATAACTACCAGAAATAATGAGAGACCAAGAGAAGATGCAGAAAACCAGAATTGTGGGGGCGGGGGAGGGGAGGAGACATAATTTGAGTTTCATGATTTCTTTACTATGTTTTTATTGTTTGTTTTGTTTCAGGAGTACAAAAGGAAACAAGATGTATTTTCAATTCCAACGTTAATTACATGAAATTTTTGAAGTCTCTGGAAATTAGATGACAGCAAACTTAGATGTCATGCCCCATGGATCTCTTTGATCCTTTATGATCCCTGGCTGTGGCGTATGGTAAAAAGAGATACTGTTGATAGATAACAACTGATTGACATCTCAAGGCTTCCATGGACTATTTATGTTTCATAAAATTCTAGCCTGAGGAGCCCTAAATACTCCACTGAAGATCTGGGCCATTAGCACATCAGATAACTGTATATTCTGTACTCTCATAAAGAGTGGACCCTTGGATGTTTCTGCCCTATACTTCTTTTGAACAGAACCCTTAAGAAGTCACATAATGGATCTTTCACTGTAGGTCCACACTAGAGGATTTCTAGTCTGCATCTATGCAGACACTTTTATTCTAGTGTTAACCAAAATCAGGCAATTCTTGATCTCTCTATTGGTTGCTGAAATCAGGGCTTTGTTTAAAGTTCTGTGAAATTTATAATGAACAGGATTAAGACCCCAAAAGAATATTAAAATAAACATTATTTACTGTTGACATTTCAAATAAAGCAGTTTCAAAAATGACTGTTTAAACATTTTTTATCATAAAAGCATGTATTCCCTAAAGAATAATCAAAGACTCTTGAATTTAATATAAGAAACTACAAATATGTTAATACATGTAGTATCAGTGAAAATATCTCAATGCTATACTTATTGTCATTATATTTACTTCCTTTGGTACAAATAGAGACAAAGTATTTCCTTTAAAAAAACTGTGTTATAGGGAATGGAAATTTACTTTTGAAATCTGATACAAATACAGTGAATGCAGATCTTCCCTTGAATATACTTTGAATAAGAAAACACTGAAGAGGTCTGAATATGTTGTGGATATAGACTGATGAAATTACTTTTCATATATGGTTTATAGAAACCCCACCATATGTTGGTGCCAAATAATTTGTTTAGATTTTAAAGGCAAATCTGTAAATGGGCATCATGTGTCAGTTCTGGATGGAAGACAGATATGGGTTTGGAAGGAAGATTCCAGAATGGGAGGTGATACTTGAGTTGGGGCAGACTAGGCATGAGAAAATCCAGGAAGACTTTCCAGCAAAAGGGAGGAGGCAAAAGATCAAAGTCAGATGGTGGGAATTCCATAGGCATTGGACAAAAAGTCAGCTTTTCAAGCTTTTGATTATCTGATAGCTAGCTGCCTTGAAAGCCTCTCTCCTGCTTCACAACACTGTGTTCTTCTGGTTCTTGTCCTGTTTCTTTGACCATCTTTTCGGGTTCTGTGATTATTTCATATCTAGATGTCCAACTGTTTGGTAGATGTTTCTAATTAATGGCTTTGGAATGTATTTGAAACAGAAACAATACTTCTACATTCTCCCCAACCCACTGCTCCCTTCCAGTTGTCATTGCAACATTACTTAACTTCAGCCAGAGTCGTATTTCATAGTTCTCCTTCTCCTTCCATTTCTGATCAGCTATCAGCTCTCATAGCTTCTATCACTGCTTGGTAATAATGTCTGCAATGCCCCTCCTGCCATCACTCTAATACTCTCACCAAGAACTCCCATTTCCTATTGATTTCTAGTAGAAGATTTGTTCCTAAGAATGGACCTGGGGTTGAGTGCAAGGTTCCTACTGTTAACTGACATTTGAAAAATGCAGCATACATCACTTTCCTCTTGACCAGCCATAACAAACTTTAGCATATTTCTTAGATCCGCTTGTCCTGGGGCTCTCTTTTCATATTACATTCATCAACATCTAGTTACTCATGTTCCAGAAAACACACTTTGGGAAACAATGACTTGACCTATAAAAATGGCCTCTAAACTGCTCTCCTTGCCTAAAGTTTCCCTTTCCATTGCATCAAAGAGTATTTCACTGATAGATTAATTTCTCTAAAGTGCTTAACTCATTATCATTCTCTTGCTCAGAAACCTTCAGTGGCTCCCCATTGATCTAAGCAGTGATGAAGCACCTGGTTCCCACAACGTGGTACTAATATACCTCCCAGTGTTATCCTTTCCCCCCTACATGGCAGTGCAGCAGAAGAGAAAAGACATGAAATTTGGAATCAAATCCAGTTTAGATTCCAACTCTGTCTCTTAAAAACTGTAAACCAGGCTTTGAGACATTTCTTTGCTCATCTGCAAGTGCATTTAGTAACTGCAGAGATGGGAGGATGTAGTGAGATAGTATTAGTGAACATTTTCGTGTAATTGAGGCGCACACTCTCTAGCCCCATGGGTTATAGACTCATTAGGCAGGTTGAACCTCTTTCATGTTGTAGTCATCTAGTGTCTGCCTGCAGTAAGTGACCAGTGATATTTTAAATTGAGAATGCAGAGGATCACCTGCCAGTGTTAATGAGAAGTGACCAGTAAATCAGCGAGTACCTCTATTTGGGGAATTTTTTTATGGGTCCTGAAGGGACAAGAGCCAGTTCCCACAGAACATCCAAGCTTTTTAGGTGGAACTGTGCCACTGATCCTTGGCTGAGGTGGGGTAGGGGATGTAGGGCCCAAGAATTAGGAGCAATGCTTGAAAAGCAAATCCCTCATTCAAACAGATGAAACAAAAGCCCACTGCAAGAGTCAAAAAGCTGCCACTTTTGTTAGATTCAGAAACTTTTTTTAAAAGTTTATTTATTTTGAGAGAGAGAGATCATGTAAGCAGGGGAGGAGTAGAGAGAGGGAGAGAGAGAGATTATCTCAAGCAGGCTCTGTGCTGTCAGTCAAAGCCCAACGTGGGGCTCGTTCTTACGAAGCATGAGAGCATAACCTGAGCAGAAATCAAGGGTTGGATGCTTAACCATCTGGGCCCTCCAGCCCCCCCCGAAACTTTTAAAAGTGGCTATGATTTACTTCAAAGTCCAACATGAAGAAAATACAAGGTTCTCATCACCCCTGCCTAAGAAGGAAAAAGGGATTTTTCTTTGATTTGTTTACTAGCGTAGTCTAAGTGCCTCAAATAGTGTCTTGCATGTAGAGGATGTTCAGTTAGTATATGATGGATGGATGGATGGATGGATGGATGGATGGAGGGAAGGATGAAGGGACAGATGGAGGGATGAATGAATAGTTGGATGAATGGGTGGGTGGTGGATGAATGAATAAATGATTGAATGAATGAGGCCATGACATGCATTTTATAATGATCTAGTAAAGCACTAAATATGTAGAAGATCCTTGATAAATAATTGACTGGCTAAATATATCAATTGTATCCTAGCCAATTAAGGACATTTTTTTAAAAAGTACCTTAAACTAAATATTATTCCTATATATTTCTAATTTATAAAATATTTTTATACATTACCTATATTATCATCATTATTTTATTTTTAAATGATCTATGCATTCACTTATTTCTCCCCTCACAACATGGGAGTGTCAAAGCTTAAAAGCAGGTGAGGAGAGAAAATTGAAAATAAGAGATTAACCAGATATTTTTAGTCAGAAGGTTAAAAAATTGTGTCTAAATTGGATTGACTATGTTGAATGGAATGAAAAGAAAACAGTTTTTTTTAAAAAACTGGAAGAAGATGGAGGAAAATGAGGCATAAGGTGTGCAAAATGTGTTTGATAAATTTGTCTGGAAAGAATGTTACACTTAAACACATTTTTTTCCCTTAACATTTCACTCAATGCTTTTATAACTATCATTCTTGTACGAGGGAAGAATAGCCAGATATCTCCTTCACAGCTACAGGAACCAAGTCATAGAGAAGTTAAAGATCTATATATTCGGGGCACCTGGATGGCTCAGTCATTTGAGCTCCCGACTTCAGCTCAGGTCATGATCTCACGGTTCATGAGTTCAAGCCCCACATCAGGTTCACTGTTGTCAACTGTCAGCATAGAGCCTGTTTCAGATCCTCTGAACCCCTCACTCTGCCCCTCCCCACTTGCATTCTCCCCCCCCCCCCACAAATCTATATATTTAATAGCAGGTAGATCCAGGGCTAGAATCCATGTCTTCCAAGTAATCAGGAGTAAACACAACTGCCAAAATGTAAAGTGAGCCTGACACATTTAGAGAACATAAAGAGTTAGGGTGACTAGGGTATTTGGCTTGAATGAAGGGGATATATAGAAAAATCATAGGAAATCAAAGAAATAACTAGGAAACAGATTACAGAATACTTTAAGTAGCACAACAAAGAATCTAGATTTTTATCCATGTCGGTTATTTTTGAAATTATTTTTAAAGCAAAAAAAAATCTTTTTTAAAATAAAAAAACTTATATGAGATGCCAATATGCAAAACAACTTAAAAGGAGGTGGGTTCTTCCGTTGAAATTGTTCCCCCCCCCCTTCCTGCCTCTCAGTCTCTGAGGAGAAAAGGTTGAAAGTTGTGAAAAAAAGGTTTAACCCAAGGAAAGTCTGAAAAGGCATGAGTCTGACAAGTAGGCAGGGAAGTGCTGGAGCAAGTGGCATAGAGACCAGGTGGAGTAATCCACCATGGGAGGAAGAAAGCACAGAGGCATGGTTGCCAGTGGGATGGGGAGGCAGAGATGCTGGGGATAGGAGGAGAATCCGAACAGAGCCGAGAAAAGTTCAAAGATTCACTTGAGGGCAAATGCAGAATACAATCACAAACATGGTGAAGGCAAAGCGGGAGGCTGCTGGTTTTGATGAAAGGCAATGATGTACTTTTTATCATGTAAACATTTCTACTACACTAGGTTAAGGCCAAAGGAATAGAAAGCAACCCCTTTCTCTCTACCAGTTTTCTTCCCCTTTTCAAATAGAAGAAACAAAAGTGCATGGCGTGAGTCAGAAAGCTTCACTTTTTGCCATATTAACAAAAAAAATTTAAGTGCTTAAGATTTCACCTCAAACTCCAACATGAAGAATATACAGAATCCCCGATGACCCACCCCATTCTAAAAAGGAAAAAAAAAGACCATTTCCATTTTTGTAAACTTTCTGTTCTTCAGTCTGGGTAACTAGCACATTAATTTTTTTTATCTTTTAAAAGCTAGTTTTTCCAGGGGCGTTAAGTACAATTTATTTCAAGCATAATTATTTTGAAATCCAAGATTTTTCTGATGCTTCATAAACTAACTGATAAAAGTGAAACTTGAGGAATCTGTACACCCAGGCAACTACAGTAATTCTGATGCGTATTATTCTGAGAATAAATAACAGGTTTTGGCAAGCTGCGTGTAAAAAGAACAGTCTCCTCTTCCTCTGCGATTCTGAAACTGGTGATGCAAGCGCTCCCGCCCTTTTCTGAGAACACAGAAAGCCTGACTCAAGCAGGCAGTTGCGGCTATTAAAACAGCTCCGGCCCGCACGCGTCCCAGCCGGAGTGAGCGCTGCCGCCGAGCAACGATGAAGCTAGCCAACTGGTGGGGGCTGAGCTCGGCTGTCCTCGCCGCTTACGGCGTTTTGGTTGTGGCAAACAATGAAACGGAGGAAATTAAAGATGAAACGGCCAAGGATGCCTGCCCGGTGAGACTAGAAAGCAGAGGGAAATGCGAGGAGGGTGGTGAATGCCCCTACCAGGTGAGCCTGCCCCCGCTGACCATTCAGCTCCCGAAGCAGTTCGGCAGGATCGAGGAGGTGTTCAAGGAAGTCCAGAACCTCAAGGAAATGGTAACTAGCCTCAAGAAATCTTGCCAAGACTGCAAACTGCAAGCTGATGACAGCCGAGACCCCGGCAGAAATGGACCGATGTTACCTAGCCCCGGAACGCTGGGAGAAGCCGATGACAGCAGAGTTCGAGAATTAGAGAGTGAGGTTAACAAGCTGTCCTCTGACCTAAAGAATGCGAAGGAGGAGATCGATGTGCTTCAGGGTCGCCTGGAGAAGCTCAACCTTGTAAATATGAACAACATAGAAAATTATGTTGATAGCAAAGTGGCAAATCTAACATTTGTAGTCAATAGTTTGGATGGCAAGTGTTCATCTAAGTGTCCCAATCAAGAGGAAATACAGTCACGTCCAGGTATGTACAATGTTTTCTTATCATCTGTTCGTGAATGTTATATGGCTAAACAGTATCTATAATCATTAACCTTTGCAAGGAAGTTAAACAAATGACAGATGAAAGAAATTAAGCCTCATATTCATCAAGGTAGTACAGGAAAAACTAATCTCTTTGCAAATGTGACCACAGAAATCAGACTTAATTACGAAAACCATAATTAGTTCTGTATCCATTAGAAAGCACTTTCAATTTCAAAGATCCTATTTGTTAATGCCAGGGCTACACACAGATTGAAGTAGAGAGATTATTTCTTAATGTTTTAGTGCTTTTCGCTTATTTATCTCTTCACTGAAGTGTTTCAAAACAGTACAGATAAGGCTATATTTCCAGCTATGCTTTGTTCATTGGAAATCAGTTTCCTGTGGTTGGCTGACTGCTCCTCTCATGTGGCCACAGGAAATCTTTGAAAGATTTTAATTTATCTGCTGTTCACAATCCCAAATATCTAGTGAAAACAGGAGATTTTGTAAACGGAATAAAAACAGCTATATGGCTTCATGTGTGTGGAAAACTTTTTGCTTTGAGTGGCACAAAAACATTTTAAGGGGTGAGTTTTGGCATGCCAGAAGCCCACAAACTTAGCTCCCTACTGTGCCCACAAACTTCTAGCTGGTTCCGCCAAGTGCTGGCTTTCCACCTGATACACTGCTGCTGATGGTCTTGTTACACTTTGGAAAACCATCTCTGCATTAGAACCTCCACTTACCATGCATGTAGGGCTGAAGGGATGGAGATCACATTCATTTGGAACAAGCACCTCACGTGTGCTCCATCCCCAGGGAATCTGCCAGGGATCTGAAGGTGGGGCTGTTGTTAATACTTCTGCCAGCCCATGTCTGAATGGCAAGGCAGAGGTTCCTGTCTTAGGTGACATCCCGGGTGCACATTAGATTTGATGCTGCGTAGCAGCTTGTAATGAATATGAACAAGATTCTACCATCTATTTTTATACTAAGAGTTTAGGGGAAATATTGAAATACTTTGAGTTCTAAATACATACGAACAGATTTGTTTTTGCCTTTGAGTAGCTTATATTAAATTTACTTTATATGGCCCAAATCTTTATAAAAATTATCTAAGAGTAAATACCTGTATTTGATTCCTACGGAACCATCCTGGACATAACCACCTGTTGTTTCTTTCTGGAAACCAAATATGTGAAATGCTGGCTAAGTACTTTCCAGATAATAAATTCAGAATAAGAATATTGGTATAGAGTGTATGATGCCACTCAAAATAAGTTAGTCAGATAAAGACAAATATCATATGATCACACTTATATGTGGAATTTAAGAAACAAAACAGATGAACATAGAGGAAGGGAAGGAAAAATAAAATAAGGTAAAAAGACAGAGGGAGGCAAACCGTAAGTTCTCTCTTAACTACAGAGAACAAACTGAGGGTTGCTGGAGGGGAGGTGGGGGGATGGGCTAAATGAGTGATGGGTATTAAGGAGGGTACTTGTTGTGATAAGCACTGGGTGTTGTATGTAAGTGGAGAATCACTAAATTTTATGGCAGAAACCAAAACTACACCATATTTAAACAAAATCTTGGAAAGAGAAAAGTATTTGCAAACATATGTGTGGAAGCATAAAAAAAGTATATTGGTATATTTTTGAAAAAAATCTGGTTTTTACTTGAGCTTCTTTAGTTGTCAAGCAAGTGAAATAAATATGAATATATGATCAATTCTATACCCTGGAATTTTAATACATAATTTGGAACATAGCCTATAAAGCTTTCTGACAAAAGAGGGTTATCAGCCTCATTAGGTAAAAGGAAATAGAAACTTTGCTTCTTCTGTAAACATGGAATGCAGTTCTAGAAGAGTTGGAAGTATCTGACCTTTAGGACCAAGGAATGCAGTAGCTACAAGAACAAGCTTTACAGCCAGCCAGATCTCAGTATGTGTCTTGGCTCCACCACCTAATGCTTTTGTGAAGTTGGCCAAGCCACTGGATCTCTTTGACCCTAAGTATCCACACCTGGAGATTGGAAGACCTGCCTCATAAGGTCAATGTGCAGATTAAGTGTGAAAATGTTATCAAATCTTCGGTAGAATGCCTAGAACACATAAGTAGCACTCACTAAGTATTACTAAATTACCAAAACTATTTTATTGATCTCGTTCTTGTTGTTGTTTGTTACGAACAGTGGTACTATTATTACCACCCTGGAGTATGTTGGAGAGCCTTGTCTGCTTTATAGCACCAAGTTCTTATTCTGATGCCTTAATAAACATTTGCTAAACAGGGTCAAGTAAGTTTTGCAGAGTAGGGTTTCATGAACACCACTGACTAAATTATCAAATTGCCTTTGTAGATACAAAGAATTCTTCAGATGAATCTTTTTTTATTAACAAAATCCAATGCCTTTCTCTTCTTCCCCCTTCAGTTCAACATCTAATATATAAAGATTGCTCTGACTACTACACAATAGGGAAAAGAAGCAGTGAGACCTACAGAGTCACACCGGATCCCAAAAATAGTAGCTTTGAAGTCTACTGTGACATGGAGACCATGGGGGGAGGCTGGACAGTGCTGCAGTCACGGCTCGATGGAAGTACCAACTTCACCAGAACATGGCAAGACTACAAAGTAGGCTTTGGGAACCTCAGAAGAGAATTTTGGCTGGGGAACGATAAAATTCATCTTTTGACCAAGAGTAAGGAAATGATTCTAAGAATAGATCTTGAAGACTTTAATGGTGTCAAACTCTATGCCTTGTATGATCAGTTTTACGTGGCCAACGAGTTTCTCAAATACCGTTTACACATAGGTAACTATAATGGCACAGCTGGAGATGCCTTACATTTCAGTAAACATTACAACCATGATCTGAAGTATTTCACCACCCCAGATAGAGACAATGATCGGTATCCCTCTGGGAACTGTGGGCTCTATTACAGTTCAGGCTGGTGGTTTGACGCTTGTCTTTCTGCAAACTTAAATGGCAAATATTATCACCAGAAATATAGAGGTGTCCGTAATGGGATTTTCTGGGGCACCTGGCCTGGTATAACTGAGGCACACCCCGGTGGCTACAAGTCCTCCTTCAAAGAGGCCAAAATGATGATTAGACCCAAGCACTTTAAGCCATAAATCACTGAACTCATTCTTCTGGGTATTCATTACCTAATAGGGCAATTAATTTCTTAAGCACTTTGGAATATGTTTCACACTCCTTTTTTATGACTAAAAATTTATTTCTAGCAGTAGGTTCTTATGCTACACAGTGTTTGAAATAAAGCTGAAAAAGTAAAGTTTTATAGGAGTCCTTTGTTGCTGTTATACTGTTATACAGATGAGTATTTGCAAAGCAATTGAGAGTATTGAGAATTACATATTAGATTTATGATTTCCTTAATTTCTATTAGTTGAAAATTTTTCCATTTACTTATATTACTTGCTATAATTATGAAACTATTTTTTATTTAGCAAGCTGGATTTTTACACAAGTAATCTGTATTTTGATTGTGACTTAAACACCTCTTTTCAGGCTCTAGTCAGTTATTGGGTATTTATTTTTCTCTAAATACCCTAATCCTCATTCTGAGATAAACTTTCTCAATTTATGGCATTTCCTTTGGGTCAGGAAGACCTTACAGCATTTTAGCTCCCAGACAAAGGGAAATATATGTAATTAAACCTGTTCATGTACTATTTGTGAAATGTAAAATATTTGTCATTTAAAATATTTCGGTAGGTGAATGCCTAAAAGCATTCAGAAAATTAATTCAACCTTAAAAACCATGGTTTAAAGGTTATTAATTAATTCACAGTTAATAACTCTTTAGGTGCTGGATGGTTAAAACTGCTTTACTATAAAAATTAGCTTCCTTTGCTTTATATGCACAATAGTTTTTAATTTAAGATTGCTCATTACTGTGCATGACTACTGGCAGGCTTTCTTTTGGAAGGGTAGGTGTGGGTGGGGAATGAAACATTTATTTATAGACAAGATTACTCCAAGGGCCAAAGCATTTATATCCAAAGCAATATTTTCATTAAGTGATTCACTTCATAGAAAGCTAAGTTTTATAAGACATATGTATTTTGATATATATAGAATAGTAGATCAAATATTATGTATCTCAACTATAACTGGTGTATTGCTTATGTTTTTAAAAGAAAATTTAAATACAGGTGTTTATTTTTTTTAACCAAACTAAAATATCTGAAGCTTTTATAATTCACTAATTCTGGAGTGCAGGTATCAGTTTTTAAAGATTATGAAAAATAGTGTGTTACATTTAATCATTGTAAAAAGGGATCATTTCAAAGAGAACAGTGGTATTCTGCTGAACATTTAAAAAATACTCTAGAATAAAATTTGAAACAATATACTGTATGTGAGTCATAGAAATGTATTCAGTCTTTAATTTCTAGTTTGTTTCTACCACAGTAACTAAAAATATGCTCAAAAAGATACAACTTTACTCATTATTTGAAAATGATTAAATAGGATAGTAGCTTTAGGAAACAAATTAACTTTTTCAAATATTGCCCTTTGTAGAAAACTCTAACCAAAAAGAAGCAAGATACTCTTAAAAATATACAACATACAAAGTTTTCAGGTACACATGATGAAAATTAAGTTATTATGAATGCTATTAAAAATGCTAAGGCAAGAGAAATGCAAATAGAATTGTGACAGCCGAAATATAAAATATCATGGTAGATTTCATGTCTTCATATCTACTCAATAGTATAACAAATGTAAATGTAATTGATTTACACTTTTTTCTATCTTTTTTGTTTTTTTAAAAAAAGATTAAGAAGATTTTGATACTATACAATGTATTTCATATAAGATAATTTTCATTTACTATATGTCATTGTTGATATGTGCGTAAGTTTAAGTCAATTTCCATGATCAAAAATAGAGTCATGAAGTAGATCTTATCCTCTCAAACTTGTGTTTCTCACACTGGAAAAAAAGAAAAAATATGGACTCTTCACAAAATACAGTTCTAAAGAAAACTGGCTCATAAAGTGAGTATCCACTGATTTAATGGGAATGAGGTTATCATTTCAGAAGACTTGTCAAATAATTCATTAATCCATGTAAATACTCAAAAGCTGTCCTTTTATCTTTCCACTTATTTCAAAAGATTAAATTTTATTTTCTATTATACTTTTATGGCACTTTTCTAATAAAAATTCTATGATATAGAAATTCCTTTTTGAAATCATTTCATGTCATTTATAAAATATATTTTATATTTTGCTAATCTTTAACTTGTTGATGGAAATAGATTATATCTGAGAGAGCATTTTGCTTTAACATAGGTATTCACTAATATGAGCTAATGTTCACAAATGTGGATTATTAACATATTGGTTCCATTTGTTATTTTAGTAAGACTTTGTTTCTAAACTTTATTATTTTTGAAAATGTTGACTAAAACTAGTTCTTAGAAATTCCAAGTGAAACTGATCCACTCATTGCTAAGAAGAAAAATCTAACTTTTCTTATAGGCAGTAATTCCAATGAATTAATGACACGTCTGTCCAATAGAGAGATTAAATATGAAAGTATAAAAGATACCCTAGCAACAAAATTTCCTGGCCCTTACTTTTGAGTGGTTACCCAAAAAAAGGTTTTAAAAGTAAAAGTGATGGGTACTGTCATCATGATAAGCTTTTATTTGGAATTCTTATTTTCTTTTATGTATAAATAAGTTTATGTCTCACATCTTCTAACAACCCTATAAAATAAAAGATTTAATCTCCACATCTATTTATTTCTGCAATATAGTAACGTTAAATATTATTGTTAGTAAAATCATATTTATATATTTACTCTTGTCTGAAAAGTTGCATAATGTTTACCTAACTAGACTTTACCTTTGACTCTTTTTGAAGACTTTAATGAGTGCTATTTCATTAACAGGAAGACAGAGGCAAAAGAACACCATTATCTCACTTCCCACCAGAATACTGTTGACACCTTTGAAATACAAAAGTTTCTGTTTTGTTCTGCAGCATTTAGCTCCATCTTTTTCCATCATTAACATTCCTGCTGGCTCGGCCCCTCATCAGCCCCTTTGGATAATACAAACGCTTTTTCAGAGTAACCCATGCCTCCAGTTTCTATCTATTCCAACCCACCCTCCACTTCACTGTCAGAGACACTATTCAGAAATACAGTTCTGATCATATTATTGCCCTGCTTAAAACCTTCCAACAAGTGCTCATTTCCTATATGATAAATCCAGCAAAGGAGCCCCTTCGTGAACTGGTTTCTGGTTCCTCTTTCAGTGTCCTTTTCTGCCACTAACTATACTCCTGCCAAACCGAATGCCCTGTTCTTGCACAATTCCCATGTTCTTTAAGTTGTTCGTGACTTTTGTGTATACTCTTCCCTTGGTCTAGACAGAATGCCATCCTAACCCCTTGCTGAGTTTTGTCTTACTGCCCATGATCTAGAGCAGGGACTCAGAAGATGAACTTGCTAGGTTTGAATTTCAGCTCCACCATCTGCAAGCTGTGAGATCACAAAGTCAATTAATCTCACGGTCATTTGGTTCTTTCAGTTATAAAATGGGTAAGAGTAGGGGCACCTGGGTGGCTCAGTCAGTTAAGCATCTGACTTCAGCTCAGGTCGTGATTGCATTTCATGAATTCAAGCCCTGCATTGGGCTGTGTGATCACAGCTCAGAGTCTGGAGTCTGCTTCTGATTCTGTGTCTCCTTCTCTCTCTGCTCCTTCCCCTCTTGTATCTGTCTTGTCTCTCTCTCTTTCTCACTCAAAAATAAATACAAACATTTAATAAAAAATTTTAAATGGATAACAGTAGAATCTGCCTGATAGAGTTATTGACAGGCTAACATATGAAGCACCTAGAACATTATATATCTCCTCCCCCTCCCTGCCCTCCTCCTCTTCCTTCTCCTAAATCGTTATCTCTTTTGGGCAGTCTGTTCTGATAACATTAGGAGGTGGTTTGTACCTCTCTCCTTCAGTCCTATACCATCCTATATATTCCTTATTATACGTTACATTATTCAACAATGTCTGGGTTCTACCATGAAATCAATCTGTTTGGCTAGGACATAAAGCCATTTTGTGACAGTCTTATTATTCAAAGTGGTCCATAAATATGTTACCAAAGAGAAAGAGCTGTAGTCTGAGGAATCTGGAGTTATAACTGGGGAAGGAGCAGATACTGTCAAATCTGAGGATTTGGGAGATTGTGAACAGAGGTGAGAAGTGGTTGAACCCAGGGGGAAATATGGCAAGAGACGATCAGATATTACTATAGATATCAGAGGCACATACATACACTGGCAAACCTCTACTTTAGAAGGGGTTCTGGGACCCTGCCTCTGGGCCCATACCACACGTGGCAGTACCAGAATGGACAGTGGTTGTTCTACCTGTATTCCTAAAGAAAAAAAAAAGTGTTTTTTTGTACTTCTTATGCCATAATTTTGAAATTAATTTTAATCATACAAAATTCATGAATGCTTTAATTAAAAAAATTAAAATTAGATTAAAGACCCCTTCCTAAACCATCTTCAATTCCAATCTCCTCCCTCTCCCCAGAGGTGACAAGAGAGTTGGCTGACTCCAAACTAATTTCTTCCTGTGTCTTGCCAAAATGCAATGTCTTCTGAATCCTATCGATACCAGGTTTCTTTTGTTTACTAGTTGGGAAGAGTTGGAAGTGAGAATAGAAATGAGGGAAATTGGGTGTACTTGGAGAACTCAGTCCCCTGAATTCCCAAATGTGAATGAGCCACCTTTGCTCCCTGAAGTGGCCCCTCCCCCACGGAGAGATCTTAATTGTCCCTTAGGCTCCATCATCCCGCTCCTCAGCCTCTCCAGACCTGCAACCAGGGCATGTTCTCATGTAAATTATGAAGTCAAATCGGAAGAGAAGACTTTAGACCAATTTGCGAATTTTTATCAGCAGAAAGCTAGGGAACACGTGGGAACAGATTTTGACAAGGTCGCTTGACTAAAAGGAAGCAAAAACCAGAATTTCAGATGTGACTGGATCTATTGATATGGATATATTTACCAGAAGTTCTGGATTCAGTGGGCTAGCTTGAGCAGATGTGTTTGCTTCTGTTTGCTTGATTAGTTAACGCAAACCTAGTTTCGACAGCAGCTCACACTAACTAAAATTAAGAAGCCAGAAATGTCTTGGAATGAAAAGCCATATGGAAATAGAAATGTTGAAGTGGATTCAGGTGTAATTCATTCAAAAAAGTATTTACTGAGTGTACACCATGTGCCAGACGGTGTTTTAGAAAGTCAGAGATATATCAGTTACCAAAAACCCTATAGTTCGGGAGTTTATATCTTAGCAGAGGAGATGAATAAACAAACAATATATAATAAATGCCATAAAAATTAAGCAGGATAAAGTATATAAGCAGTATGAGAGGAAGGATTCTATTTTACATAGGCGATCTGGGGAGACCTCCCTAAAGAGGTGACATTTGAACAGACTTAAAGATATGAGAGAATGAGCCACACAGATAGCTGGGAGAAGATATCTAGGAGAGGGAGTGTCAGGTGCAAAGATACTTGGCATGTTTTAGGGTCTGCAAGGAGGCCAGTGTAGGAAAAGCAGACAGCCTAAGGTGGAGGGGGTTTGAAAGATGCTATCAGAGAGAACCTGGGGTGTTGGGGTTAAACAGGGGTGGGGTGGCAGCTGCCAGACCATCTAGACTTTATAAGTCATGGTAAGAATTCTGCCTTTTCCTCTGAGTAGGTAAAAACCCTAATGGGTTTTGATCAGGGGAGGTACATGATCTCATCCAGCTTGAAAAGGGAGAGTACACTTCTGGGAAACACAATTGAATCATGAACAGTCTGACAGAATTTGCTGACCAAAGATGGGGGTGGATGGTGAAAAAATCAGCGGTAGGTATCACAGAAAAAATAGGACTTTGGCCTGAGCAACTGTGAGGGATGGAGCTGCTGTTCATTAAGGTGGGCAGGGCTGCGGGGGAAGCCTGTCTGGAAAGTGTAGTGGGCGTGGCATGAGGGGGCAGTCAGCAGTTTTGAACTTTCTAAGTTCAGAGATCGATAATACATCTGAATGGATGGTATTTGGGTGGTAGTATGATGATGTTCAGAGAAGACATCTAGAATTATGAACTAGGCCACAGGCCAAAAAATGTTCTTTGTTAACAGTGTAATGCCGAAATTTGAGTAATCATGTATGGTCATTTTAAATCATTAGGGTACGAGTGTGCTATGATTATAAACCTTTAGTTAAGCAGAGACTGGTTTTACTTTTTATTTAAAAATTGTTTTTTCATTATTTGTTTTTGAGAGAGACAGAGGGACAGAGCATGAGCAGGGGAGGAGCAAAAAGAGAGGGAGACACAGAATGAGAAGCAGGCTCCAGGCTCTGAGCTGTCAGCACAGAGCCTGATGCAGGGCTCAAACCCATGAATCATGAGATCATGACTTGAGCCGAAGTCAGACACGTAACTGACTGAGCCACCCAGGTGTCCCTTACTCTTTATTTGAGAGACATTCATGATCTTAAGGCTTGTTCCTTTCAAAAACATTTTCCAAAAGTCACCCTAGTTAGCAATAACCAAAATCTTCTATTTCTAATGGCTTTCAAGGTGTTAACACTAGAATGGCTATGAATGAATCTGACCGGCAATTTTTCCCTAATGTTGGGTCCAGCCGGAAGTGAGTATAGTCCTCTGTATCTGAGTAGGTTCCCCTTGGGTGTATTTGCACACGTATCTGAGTAGGTTCCCCTTGGGTGTATTTGCACACATACACACACAGATGAACATGTATGATACACATGCAGGCTTATGCATGCTATTTGTAACACATGCTATAATACACAAGGAAACCTGCCCATTGAAATAAAATAGATATGCAGCTCATGGAATCAAAAGTCAGTACAAAAAAAAAAATCACCGTGAGCCAATAGCTAGCATATTTTGAACAATGCTATTTAAAACAGACTGACATTAAGAGTCAGTTAAGTGTCTGACATGATTCCAGCTCAGGTCATGATCTCACAGTTCATGAGTTTGAGCCTCGCATCAGGCTGTCCACTGACAGTACAGAGCCTGCTTGGGATTCTCTCTCTCTCTCCTCCTCTCTCTTCCCCTCCCCTGCTCTCGCTTGAGCTTTCTCTCTCAAAAT